TTTTTTTTTTTTTTTTTTTTTTTTTTTTTTTTTTTTTTTTTTTTTTTTTTTTTTGTAACGATAGCTGAATAGCAGAATAAGAACAGCGTTGCGGCAAATTGGAACTTGGCTTGCGTTTGGCTGTTCTGGTTCGGACGCGAATCTGCCATCAAATTTTCTTTTGATTTGTAGCTTGATTGATTGAGGAACAACTTCAGTCTTATTTATATTTGAATAATTGTAGATTATAGTTGGGTGAAGACAAGTGGATAGTTCTAACTTGATTAAATGAGGTTTTAGACCGCCGCGACATTGTTAATATTGTTATTGTTATTGGTGATTATCATCTTTCCAAATCGTTTAGAATTGAACTAACTGGGTCGTTCAGCATATTTCTTCGGTAGGGTTTATCAGTCCAACTAAACTGTCTCTCTGTGTCTCAATCGATTACGCTCAACTGGTGTGCAGAATATGCCTCGCACGACAAAGGTTGATTGCCCTGGCTGTCCTCCGCTTCGTGCCCTAACGTTTGATGTGCTTGGTCTCGTCAAAGGTAAACAGTGCCATCTAAACTTCCTCCTTCACTGTGCCACAATTTTTTCTGTGTTCTCCTCTAAATTTGTTGTTCTGGGGCACAGTCATCCAAGCTCAGGGGAAGGACGGTGAGATTCCAAAGGTGGTCGAGAGGTGGGGCGAACCTGATTACTCCAAATCGGTGCTTGCAGCTTCTCTTGTCGATCGTAAATTCGACCCTGTATGTATTGTTTTGCCGCTCTTCAAACCATTCATTGTTATTTTCTTCTGTTTCTACAAATTTTCATGTGGTTGCACTTGCTATCCAAGTGCTGATTTGTCTTGATGAATTGTGGCTAGTATTTAGAAATAAATTGCAGTTTTATATAGTCAAGCTGATATTAAAATGTCTATTTGATTGTCACTGGAAGGTTTTTGTCATTTACAGTCGTTTGTGTCATCTAGGCTGTGAATGTGGCATGTTTTCTGGCCTTACAAGTTGCCCCACATCACATACTGATCAAAGTGAAAGCAATTATGTGCTTTTTTTGATAAGTAAATTTACTTTCCATATGCTCGATGAAGTTCCTGAGTTCTGAGAAAGAACTT